CAGCTCCAGCAACCCCAGTGCCAGCACCTCCAGCTCCAGGGTCTCCAGCTCCAGTACGTGCAGCACCACCAGCTCCAGCAGATCTAGTACCTCTAGTACGAGTACCTTTAGGACCAGCAGCTCCAGCACCTCCAGCTGCAGCACCACCACTAGCTCCGGCAGCTCCAGTACCACCAGTACGAGCACCTCCGGGACCAGCAGCTCCAGCACCTCCAGCACCTCCAGCAACTCCAGCACCTCCAGCAGCAGCAGCAGCACCAGCTCGCGCTGCTCCAATACCTCCAGCACAAGCACCTCCAGGACCAGCAGCTCCAGCACCTCCGGTACCTCCATCTCCAGCAGGACCGCTAGCACCCCCAGCACCAGCAGCACCACCAGCGCCGACAGCTCCAGTACCTCCAGCACGAGCACCTCCAGGACCAGCAGCTCCAGCACCTCCGGTACCTCTAGCTCCAGCAGGACCCCCAGCACCTCTAGGACCAGCAGCTCCCGCGCCTCCAGCTCCAGAGTCTCCAGCGGCAGGCCCCCCAGCTCCAGCAGCGCCACTTCGAAGGCAGGTGCGCCGAGAAAACCACTCGCGCAGCTGCTGTGGAGAGAGAAGCTCCCGCCGTGACGAGGCACCCGTAGGACCTCCTACAGACACAGTACCTCTAGGCTCAGCACCCAAAGACCCAGAACCCCCAGGCTCTGCACGCTCAGGCTCAGCACCCCCAGGCTCCGCACCCTTAGACTCAGCAACCCAAGGCTCAGTACCCCCAGGCTCCGCATGCTCAAGCTCAGCACCCCCAGGCTCCGCACCCTCAAACTCAGCAATCCCAGGCTCAGCACTCCCAAGCTCCGCACGCTCAGGCTCAGCACCCCGAGCAGCACCCCCCACCATCAGCACCAGTGTCGACAGCTACCTCGACAGGCTTAGCTAAGGAGAGTGGGTCTACCTGAGACACACCTCAGGGAGCAGGACCCTGAGGGGGGAGGGGGTCTACTGGAGGAGGACCTGGTGTAAGGAAGAGTGGCGAGGGCAGGAGAGGGGCAGTGCGGTAGGGGAAGAGACGGTAAAAGGGAACCGACTCGTCAAACGTGACGTCCTGAGATGGCAGAACACGGCGCGAGGTGGGGTGGTAAAACTGCCAGCCAGGCGCATCAGTGGGAAAGCCAAGTAAGACGCAGGGAATGGCGCGGAAGGAGAGTTTGTCCGCGGAAGTATCGCGGACAAAGGCACGAGAGCCCCAGACCAGGAACACCGACGCATCGCCAACCTTCCCCGTCCAACGCAGTATAGGCGAGGTCTCCGGCAAGGAGACATGGGGCCAGAGGTTGAGCTGATGCGCAGCGTGCCTGATCGCAAACGGCCACAAAAAATGGGGAGCAGCCGCATGGATCATGGAGGTAAGAGCGACCTCCATGAATAAGCCAATGCGGCGCTCAGCAACCCCATTCTGCTGCGGAGAGGCCGGAAGCGTGAACGACTGGCGGATGCCCTTCCCATGACAAAAGTCCTGCAAGAGGCCGGAGGCGAACTTGATGGAAAGCGAGCGAATCTGGAGAGCGTACAAGAGATTAAGTCCGCCGACTTTGACGGAACATTGCGTGCAGCTCACGTAACCTTAAACTATGAGCAGGTACACGTTGGAAGGGTCTTAATCTCTACTTTCCAGAATGATAACGCACGCCTTCAACCAAGATCTAGGCCGATCGCTATCGCGATGTAAGTGCGACGGGGTATCTTGGCTAAATTACTTGGCAGCCATGGATTAGATCAAGAAAGTAGCTTTAGCAAGAGTTCAGATCTGCAAAGTGACAAGTTGTTCAAACCCTACCAACCCAACCCTCGCCCTACAACAATCCCCAAGAACCCAAAGTGCTAAACTTGCAACACCAAAGGTGTTGTAGTGAATAGCAAAGGTTTGTTGGTGCTTGTTGGGTGCGAGATCAATTCCAGCCCGCAACAAGTCTAACCACCACATTTTGCCCAAACCCTTAGCCCACAGCCAGCTAGAGAAAAATACCACAACCACCTACACAATCAACACTCCCCCTTGCTCGTGCTGGAGGTGGCTGAACACCACTGGGCAAAATCCTTCACTTCACTCCCCCTTGCCCAGGGAGGGGCGCCATCCACAGCATGAGGTCGTCAAGGCAGAGAAGCACCAGTCCTCCCACATCTTGCTCAGGCACCATGCTGACATGGACCTGCATCCCCATCAAGGACATGCACGCACCATGCCGCTCAAAAGGGAGGGGTTTGGTGAGTATATCTGCTGCTTGACGGTTGGTGGGGCACCGCCGGAGGATCACCTCGCCGCACGCCACCATCTCCCTGATGAAATGCCACCGAACCTGCATGTGCTTGGTGCAGCCATGCAAGCATGCATTTTGTGCAAGGGCAATGGAAGACTGGTTGTCCACAAACACAGGCACACCACCAGCAAACTCATGCCCAAACTCCCCAAACAAATGCTTCAGCCACACACCCTCCTAAATGCACTGACACAGACTGATG